TGAATATTTGAGAGTCTTTAAAGTGAAACCCTCCCAAACTATTTTAAAACTTGTAGTTGTGGTTCAAACCTGGAGATAAATCTTTCCCTGTGAACTCTTTATTGCAGACTTGAGAAATGTGCATTCATCTAGGAGTATTTTATTTTTTAACCACCTGTGGTTTTGTAAAAGTTACCATGGAAAGGATTTTGGGATCATCCAACACTTCCTTCACCTGTTTTCTCTTTCTAAAGCAGCGTGAGCACATTTTATTCTGCAAATCTGACTGGTAGATTATTTCGCTTCTCCTAATGGAGCAGACTGTTGATTTGGCCTCACTTAATGTTCTTGCTATCTCTCTGATGGATTTGTTTTGTTTTTGCAGCCCCACAATGATAAGTTTCATTTTCTATGAGAGCTCCTTTGGCTGTGTGCTAAAGGTTCACAAAAACAACTTCCAAATTGCCAATGTCACACTTGAAATGGATTGCAGACGTCTACACTAGCCTAACTGATGAGGAAATCGCAGAAAAAGCCCAAACAAGTCAATGAAAAAGCTTTTTAGTTAAGTGTCTTATTACATTTTAGCTGCTGAAAAACCAAAGTAGACAAATAAAAAAAAAAGCCTCCCTTTGCTTTGGATATAAATATTCTCAAATTAGGAGTCAGCTCTTTGTTTATTTAGATTTTTAATCAGTTAACTGTTTAATGACATCAGATCTACGCTCACATACTGAATCACATCAGAGTTTCCGTCTCTACGTTTGTGTGTACAACATTTTGTGTGTTTCAGCACAAAAGCTTTTGCAGTTATCGGATCAGAACCGTGGCGTTCCTGCTGCCACACAGAGGGACATTTTTTTAAATCATTTTTAAATGTGGAAGCCACACAAGCACAGACAGCTGCACAGGCACACTGATAAAACCAGGGAGATAAATCTGTTTGAAGTACAATTTCATTCTCTCCACTTCCCACTTTTCTGCTTTTCTTGCACTCTGCTGAAGAGAAGGGAGTCAAATCTCTGAGGGGCTAACTTTAAATGTGCGTGAGGGTCAAAACAACGAGAGCTTGTTTAACAAAGAAACATGACTGAGACCTTTATATATATATATATATATATATATAGTAAGGAAATACAGTAAGGATTTGAAACACTGCAGATTTTGTAAGTTTTTCCCACCTATAAAAATGGAGAGGTCTGTAATTTTTATCGTAGATGCATTTGAACTGTGAGAGACAGAATCTAAGAAAAAAAATCACATTGTTTGATTTTTAAATAATTAATTTGCATTTGGTTGCATGAAATGAGTATTTGATCACCTACCAGCCAGCAAGAATTCTCCCTCTCACAGACCTGTTGGTTTTTCTTTAAGAAGCCCTCCTATTCTACGCTCATTGCTTGTATTAACTGCACTTGTTTAAACATGTTACCTGTATAAAATACACCTGTCCACACTCAATCCATCACACTCCAACCTCTCCACCTTGGCCAAGACTAAAGATCTGTCTAAGGACACTAGGGACAAAACTGTAGACCTGCACAAGGTTGGCACGGGCTACAGGGCAACAGGCAAGCAGCTTGGAGAGAAGACAACAACTGGTGGAGAAAATAATAGAGAATGGAAGAAACACAAGATGACTGCCAACCATCCTCAGTCTGGGGCTCCATGCAAGATCTCAGCACATGGGTTAAGGGTGATTCTGAGAAAGGTCAGGAATCGTCCCAGAACTACACAGGAGGACCTGGTCAATGACCTGAAGAGAGCTGGCACCACACTCTCAAAGAGGACCATTAGTAACACACCACACTGTCATGGTTTAAGATCCTGCAGGGTACGCAAGGTCCCCCTGCTCATGCCAGAACACATCCAGGTCTATTTGAAGCTCACCAAAGACCATTTGGATTATCCGTAGTAGGCATGAGAAGGTCTGTGGTCAGTTGAGACCAAAATAGAGCATTTTGGTATCAACTCCACTCGCCATGTTTGGAGGATGAAGAAGGATGAGTACAACTCCAAGAACACGGTCCCCGTGAAGCATGGGGGTGGAAACATCATACTTTGGGGGAGCTTTTCTGCAAAGTGGACAGGACGACTGCACCATATTGAGGGGAGGACGGATGGTGTCATGCATCATGAGATTTTGGCCAACAACTTCCTTCTCTCAGGAAGAGCATTGATGAGTCGTGACTGTGTCTTCCAGCATGACAATGACCTGAAACACACAGCCAGACAACTAAGGAGTGGCTCTGTAAGAACCATTTCAAGGTCCTGGAGAGGCCAGTCTCCAGACCTGAACCCTATAGAAAATCTTTGGAGGGTGCTCAAACTTAATGCCCAGTGACAGCCCCCAAACCTGGAAGATCTGGAGAAGATCTGTCTGGAGGAGTGGGCCAAAACACTGCTGCAGTGTGTTCACACCTGGACCAGAACTACAGGAAACATCTGACCTCTGTAACTGCAAACAAACGTTTCTGTACCAAATATTAAGTTCTGTTTTTCTATTGTATCAAATACTTATTTCATAAAATAAAATCCAAATGAATTATCTAAAAATCAAAATGTGATTTTTTTTAATTGTCAGGTTCTGTTTCTCACAGTTGAAGAGTACATACGATAAAAAATACAGACTATAAATAAATAAATATATATATATATATATATATATATATATATATATATATATACATATGTGTGCACACACACAGAAATATCAATCAACCTTTATTTATACAGGTAAATCCCATTGATCCTCGAGGACTCATTTACAAGAGAGACCTGAAAATATGCACAAAGTACTTGAAGGTCTATTAAAAACACACACAGAGGACAGAATTGACATTAAATGCACAATTGAAATAATTTAAAGTGAGGTTTCGTGGAAAGGTTATGAATGGTTGGAGAAAATATTATAGCTTTATCTTACCTTCTCAAAAGGAGCCACTTGACAGCAGGAGACAATTTTGAAGCAATATTTTACTCGCAAGGTCATATTGTCAGGACATGTTACACAGATGACGTACACACAAAGACCAGTCTTGAGAATCTGCCACGAGCTGTGTGTGAAGCTTGTTTTTATATTCTCATCAGTTCAGCCGAGCTCGCAGGCTCTGAGGCGTCCTTGGAGTTTCAGCTGCATGCTGCAGCCTCACCAGATCCTCATCCAGCTCTCTCTACTAACCCAAACATATGGTTCATGGGCAGAGTTAACATTATAGTAGTTAAAAACATCTATAACCTTTGACCAAAAATTCCCTAACTACGAACACTTGATATTTTAGCTGCTGCAGATAGATCTTTAAAGGACTAATGTTTGGAGAAATAGTGACTAGGAGCTAAATGCTCATCCCACCAGGGTCAAGAACAAAGTGGATTACTGCCATCAAAAAACAACTATAGTTAAAAAAAGAATAATAACATACAAATTTTCCCCACATTTGCATAATGTTGCTATTTAGACAGAAATGTTTAGTTATTTGTAGATGCAAATAGCATCCACAGCTAAATGTAGCACTTCCTGTGCAATCAGGTGGAATCCTGACAGAAACATGTTTTTTTTTCTGGAAGAGCTGTGCAATGCAAAATTCATTGTCATCTTAATGTTTATAAAATAGCATTCAATAGCAATTCAACAGCACAATAGCAAGAGATCCAACAAAGTTAAGTCAGGTCCTCTGGACGGTTTCTTTTTTTTTTTTTTTTTTGTTGAAATGTTTTGTCTTTCATCAAAAGGACGTCATCATGCCGAGGAGCCACAACAAACTCAGTCCCATAAGTGACTTACTCACATAGTGGGCCAACCAGTTTTATGGCAGTAAGATTGTATCTAGAGTCATCCCTCTCCCCCGTTGACTCCTCTGAGACAGCCATAGCTAATGTGGTTCAAAACATCAAAGTTCATGCTCAATAATCCAAAAGACATTTAAATATTTTAGAGATTGGACTTGTTTCACCACAACAGCAATCCTCTTTAGTTTTTGCCCTGCTTGGACTAGCCATCAATCTCATAAGAATTGAACTCTGTTTTTGTAAACTGAGGTCGTTCAAAGAACTATCTGCAACAGGTAAGATATTAACTGTTCAAGAATTTTCCCATAGAAAACCCACTTCTAAAGATCAACTCTGTTTAAAAGTGTCACAGCAGATATTTGCTTGGTCTCCATGCATCCAGGAAAGATAGGGACAATGTTGGTTTATGTTGTTTTTCTAAATAAAATTTAAAAATAATAAAACATTTAAGTTGAATTGGAGGAAATTAAACTTTTTGTTTCCCTCCTATTCTTAACCCTTTAGCCTCGTCTCCTGTTTATTCCCACTCCCGTGCTCCTCACTTTTCTCTGTTTGAAGGGCTGTGTTGCTATTTGTTGCATCCCAAGAGGGAGAGAAGCTCAGATGGCACTTCTTGCAAACATACAGTCTGCAATCATTAGCAACTTACTTCACACTCACTTCGGGTTTCATTCATTTTAATAACTGCTTTGGTTTTGGTGGCGCTTGCTGCCGCCGCCACCGCTTCCGCTCACCCTTGCCTCTACTTTCCTCCCATCGAAGAGACTAAATGATTTAGCTGAGCATTGTGAATTAATGCTGTGAAATTGTGAACATTTAGAGCCACCGTTTAAAGAGGATGTCCTAGCGAGACAGATATGAAACAACATAATTTTCAACATTTATTTCACCAGTGTGGAACTGCACCACGCATGTCAGCTGGCATGATGTTTATTTTTGACTCAGTTGTGTGTCAGGACAATGCATCACGGTATATGTCGGCTACTCAGTGCTGAAGTGGATGTAGCCTGTGATTTATGAGGCAATCTCTAACTGTAAGCCTCCCCTCTTTCCCCTAATGTCACTCTCTCGCAGCACGGTCTCACTTGTTGACTGAATCTTTCGCTCTCTTTATCTTTCCCCCTCTTTTCCACTTGTCCAACACTTACGCTTGGCTCCGATCATCTCCTGCTCCATCTGATTGCGTGACTAAGAGTGCTGATTTTCGGGGGCTCTCTGCTGTGTCTTTGCAGGACGAGAAGTCCACTTTCTTCCAATTCGGTGCAGCGCTGCAGCAGGAAGCCCTCCTCATGCTTGCGATCATGGAAGAGTACGACTGGCACGTTTTTTCCATTGTAACATCCAAGTTCCCAGGTTATCAGGATTTCATCAGCACGCTGAGGGTGACTGTGGATCACAGGTAGAAACGCACAATCACACATCCTCATTGTTTTCCATTCAACATTTATTTATGGCTGCTGACAGGATTCACTTCCTTGTATTATTTAATGGTGTGTTGTTACAGCTTTGTGCGCTGGGACCTGCAGAGTGTCGTGACGCTAGAAGCTGTAGACGGCGACCCCAACTCAAAATCGCACATAGCCCTCAAGAGGATACAGAGCCCTGTTATTCTACTGTACTGCTCCAAGGACGAGGCAGTGTGAGTGTTTGCGTCTTTCATTTTCCTGTGCTGTTTGTGTCACACTCTGCCAGGTTGCAGTTGTAAATCTGTCTCCTGTCTTTGACAGGTACATCCTGGAAGAGGCTCGGTCGTTAGGACTGATAGGAGCTGGCTACATCTGGATTGTGTCAAGTCTCACCACTGGAAACCCAGACTTTACCCCTGAGGTACTGAAGTCCCTCAAATAGTAACAGGTGGTCATTTTCTGGTAGTTTGACAGATGTATTTTTCATTCTAGGCTGTTGCAGATCATTTTCTACCTGCCCTGAATTCCTTTCTTTTTATTCTCACTTTCACTTTTCTTAGCTAGTAATGGTAAACTAAATGAGTTAAAGAGTAGGCGTGAGTCTGTTACTGGTTTCAAGGTAATCAATCAATACCACAGTGTTGAAAATGTTGGTGTCAAAATAAACTTTTGTTATCGTCACTAGAGCTGTTGCCTCTCAGCAAGAAGGTTGCTGGTTCAAATCCCGGCCGGGGGGAGTTTGCATGTTCTCTCCGTGCATGCGTGGGTTTTCTCCGGGTACTCCGGTTTTCTCTCACAGACCAAAAACATGCATGTTAGGCTGATTGGTAACTCTAAATTGTCTCTAGGTGTGAGAGAGTGAATGGTTGTTTGTCTCGTTTGTCTCTATGTCCCTATGATGGACAGGAGACCTGTCCAGGGTGTCCCCCACCTGTTGCACAATGATAGTTAGACATGGGCACCAGTGACCCCCTTGACCCATAAAGGAAGGAGTGGATAAAAGATAATGGATGGATGTTATCGTCACTTTGTCATAATCTCACATCCTGAACAGTCAACGTAAGGATCTAGAACCATTCCTACAATTTCCGTGTCTTTGAATAGGATACCAAGACAAAGTTTGTTTTAATAGTTTTTATTTTTACCCTAATCTTTGGTAACATGGAGTTTGGAACAGTGCTCCTCCATTATTACCTGTTGCTTAAAGATATCATTTAGTTGTGTACCTTGGTTGAGGATGAAAATCCCCTACACTTTTTGCTTGATTTAAAAAAACAGTAAGTTGGTTGTTCATTTTACCCGTCAAATAACACAGTCGATCACGACTTGTAACATCCCTCTCTCTTTTTTAAAATAGTACTGTTTTGAAACAAATGTTTGCATCGAGCTACAAAAATAGGCATGTTAGTGGGTGATATAACACAGTTTTCTACTGCAGACTCACTAAGGAAGCTAATAACGCAGCTAATTAACTGCTAACATCAGTCTGTCTCGCTCACAGCTTTACTTATTAAAGAGCAGAACTGCAGAGAGTAAGTAAAATACATACAACTACTTTGGAGTTACAAATGAATTATAAATAAATGTAAATAAAATAATTTGTTGGCTGTGGTGATTTAATCTTCATTTTTCACCCTAGATCTTTAAATATTAACATTGTTATTTATAAAACCGATCAATAATTACTTTAAAATCTATACAGAGTTTAAAAAAAAGCTGTCACCATGTTCACTTATTTTCTATCAGTCCTTGTTTATACTTGTGCATTGAAATTAATATAACTATAAATAAATATTTTATTTAGTATAATTGCACTAATAACTAAACCTATGACATTCATTCATTCAACCTTTATTTAAACAGATAAGTCATATTGAGCCTCGAAGACTCATTTACAAGTGAGACCTGTTTGGACAGACAATAAAAGTGGTGAAAATGACACATAGGGTTTGGAGACCAAAAAACCTCCTAACGTGCTCTTAATCTTTGGCTGAAGTTTAACAACATGAAAATGAAAACAACCTCACACACAAGCACATAATGACGTTCAAATAATTCCCTCTGGAAAGATCCATACAATCTTGGGGGGTGCCGAAGATGACCGAGGACGACCGAGGACGATGTCAGCTAGAATCCAAAGTGCTGGGCCCCTCTGATTGGTCCGAAGACTTTCTCGGTGGGATGGGGGAGGGGCAGAGCATCAAAGGTTTACAAAGCTTCCAGGCGAATTAAGATTAGGTGGCCTGTCAAGGCCAGTCAGGGAGCCGAATTCAGATAAACATGATTATTTTGGGAACAGGCAGAATTTTACCGATTTCGTCTACCTTGAGTCTGTGTCGGTCCACTCAGTTCTGAAACGTCCAAATTAAATGGCCACACCAATGAACCGTGCCTGAGAGTAACCCTGTGATCTGATCCATCCTGCCAAAAGCATTTGAGTCTGGGTGCTCGAGGCACGAACCAAGCCATCACATCTGGCAGGCAGCCTGACCAGGGCCAAATTTGCTGCAGACGACTTCCTTGTTTGTTGATAAACCAAGAACAAGCTGAATCCAAAAAGCAGGAAACCATAATACATAATCATTATTAAGCATTATGTGAAGCTATTTAAACAGCACAAATAATAGTGATAACATTTTTGTTTTTGAATAAAAGCAAATAAATTATGAGATGCATTTTTAAAAATAATTAGTTTTAATATCACAATAACGTGGTATTTTTGCTCAAAGGTTTCCTACAGTTAAGTTCTCATACCAGCCCTTCCTTTTTTGGCGACATAAAGCCTTCAAGAAACACAGCTAATAACTAATGAGTCATTATTCCTTTTAGTCCTGCAAATTTATTACTAATCACTTTAACACTGATTTTTTTGGTGCATTTTTTTTCTCCCTCTGGGCTAAAAAACATTTGCTTAGCCTCAAACCAGGGTGTTGGCTAAAATATAACATGCAAATATTATCTAAATATCATCCGTCTAAATTATCTGTGCTGTCTAAATACCACAGCCATGTGAGAAAATAATAAAAAGTTGGTGCACAACAGAAATGAGGAACACTTTGCATCACCTAAATGTCAAGTAATTCATAAATGTATCGCTCCAGATTATTTTGTCATTTGTAAAGTGAGTGGTCTTTTTCCACTTATGAAAAATATTAAACAGTGTGCAGAAAAAAACAAATCAAAACCGCCTCAAAAAAGAAACTCCTCAGTAAAAACACTTTAAGTTTCTAACACACACATTGCGATACCTCTGCTCACAAATAAGAGACAGAGTGCACTTTCGCTGTAGTTGCATGAGCCTATAGGCTTTGGACTGATTAGCGATATAAGTCCATGTTCACTGCAAATCTCCATGAGGGACAAAGCTTTGATTGTGAGACGACAGAAAAAGGAATGGAACCAACTAAAAGCAGTCATCAGGAGGTACAGGATGTGTCTTTGCACCACTTCTCAGAGCCGAAGTATCTGTCCTTCTAAAATATGACCTTAGAAAAATGTGTAGTTAAAGTGCTTTGGATTTGGTACGTGTTGTATCAGAAACATTTTGTGAATTTCAATTTCTGTGACAGCTTAGCTGGTTTAAAGGACTTAGCGTGATGTCAGATTTGCATAAGAAGAAGAACCATTGAAAGACTAAATACAAATGATTTTCAGATTGATGCTCAGGTGCTTTAAGTTTACTCACAGTTTTCTGAGCTCTGCGTGAATATTCTCACGTTACAGTGAGCTCACAGCCAGGGAGTGACATAAACCAAGATCAGGTCAGTTTTTGACCCTTAAAGACAAAATTGATCATGTGCTATTGATGCTTTTGGCACAAAAGATACAAAATACATGATGTGCAATATGGAAGGATAGAGGATTTTCATCCATTCATTAACTTTATCCACTTCTTCCTTTCTGAGGAGTTACTGGTGCCCACAGCAGTCACTGTGCGAGAGGCGTGCAACACCCTGGACAGGTTTCCAGTCCATCACAGGGACACCTAAAGACAAACAAGACAAACCATTCATTATCTCTCTCATCTAGGAACAATTCAGAGTTACCAATCAGCCTAACTTAAATCTAGGGTCTCTCTAAACAGGTATAAACCATCATCATAAACAAAGATAGACGAAGCGATTCTATAGACTTCCACTCTACAAAATTAGAACTAAAGTGTCTGTGTTTTTTATTTTGGGTGCTGCTATGTTGCTACTTTTAGACCAGAACCTGCACACTAGGGATGTGTGGATGTACCGTTGATACAAACGTCCTCCCTACACATCGTCTCCACTCCATAACAGCCCGTTACATCGTCAGTCACAGCGTGAAATAACATTAAAAACAAAACACATTTTTAATCAGTGCATACGATATTTGAACATTCAGAAAGATAGATGTGCAGTAGTCCCTCGATTATTGCAGGGGGTTATGTCTCAGACACCACCGCGATAGGTGAACAACCGCAAAGTAGGAACTCTATATTTATTTTAATATTTATATATATTTTAAGGCTTTATAAACCCTTCCCACACTCTTGCAATGTTCTAAGCTCTTAAACGTACGTCATTTTAACAATATGCGTATATGTACTTTACAGTACTGCAAAATTTTACTCACCAGCTCTGCAGACCAGCAGCTCGGTTCCGGTTCTGCAGACCCAACCCTGCAGCGACGAACCCACCACCCTGTCCACGTTGATGTGCATGTGGATAATTGAGTTTCATGAAACGTCAGGATTATTTACAACTTTCCCACCAGTTCTGTGAGATTCAAAGATAACGTAGATTTGCGTTGCAAAACTTTCCCTCCATTTTGGCAGAAAGCACTGTCGGCTTCTGGGTAGTGTAGTTCTTTTGACCTGCGTTACAGTATAAGCTTATTGAAAGAAAACTACAAAATGTTGGCACCTGTCTGAAGTTTTTTTGCGTTAACTTTTTATCCCGTACTGTCCCAATCACAAGGTTCAAGGTTCTTTATTGTCATTTGCATCACATGTGGTACATGAGGTGGAACGAAATTGTGTACTTAAGGTCCCAGTTACACCCAAAAATAGCAAAAAACATAAAGTATAAAAGAAACAGTATACAAGGAGCTAAGATATACGTTAAACGATAATAATGTAAAATAAAACAGTGTATTAAACAGCAGCCTGAACATGAGTGAGTAATATTATAGTTGACAATCAGGTGTTGTGTAATTTGTACAATGTCACGTTGAAAAAATGCAAAAGTCGAACCACGTAGTAGCGAGGGACTACTGTACACAAATTAAAAAACGCACCTAATACAAATGATCTGAAGTGTATTTCATCTTTTGGTCAGGAAAATGGGGAGCCCTCTCCTCATTCAGCTTCCAGTGTGGGACCCCATGTTTAGTTATAATATATGTTGCAAACCAGAGAGTTAGGGGCTTTGAAAATTGTATTTATTTCACCTTCTCATTAATCTGATCACATGTTGTTTTTTTGTTTGAACACTGATGTTCAAATCCGTGAACCAGCTTTGAGTCACACATAAGACACAGAGGTGTACTCGTTCTATTGTACACAGTATCATCTGCTCAACTGTTCTCACATCAGATGTAAAATTATATCCAGTGTTTGCGTGCCCTTTTCTGAAAAGCCTTTCAAACACATTTTTTTCCTTGTCTCTGTTAGTCATTACTCTGCTTGACAGGAATGCTCGTATCTAAGACAGACTATATGTGATTCTAAACTCAGTGGCGAGCTGAAGTGTAAAAAGAAAAAACTGTAGAGTAGAATGACAGATTCAAAGGGATGAGCTATGTCTCGGAACAAAAAGTCTGACGCACTTACGTAATCAGCTCTGAATTATTTCAGAATGGCACATGGAACCAAAAACTTGCCTGCTTCACATCTTTCAGAATCACATATGGACGGGTAAAATGGAGGGGAAGGAAAAAAAATGCTGAACAGATGTGAAATTTAATCCTACACAGCTGATGTGGCACTCATTAGATCTCCCTGCCTTGCAGATGTATCCCCTGGGCATGATTTCTGTGTCCTACGACGACTGGGAGTACCCGCTGGAGACGCGGGTGCGGGACGGGGTGGGCATCATTTCCTCTGCAGCCACCTCCATGCTGCGGGAGAAGGGAGAGCTGCCAGAGGCCCAGAGCAGCTGCTTCAGCACGCCGTCAGACAGGAGCCCCGGGAAGCTCCCACCTAGTGCCCTGCGCAGGTCCGTGTGTGTGCATGTGTGTGCATGTGTGTCTGTGTGTGTGTGCATGAGACAGAGATGAGTGTAAGGACATAAAGGTCTGGGGACTTGCATAACTCACTTTGTGTTCAGCAGTCTTGCATAAGTCTTTATAATGTTTCACTGGGATGAAAAGTGTGGAGAAAGGAAGCAGAGATGACAGCTGTGTTAAACATTATGATTTTTAACGACATTTAAAACTGTCAGCTTTTGTGCACAGTGCGGCTCAGTCTTTAAGCCAATTGTGTCTCCTTATCTGGGAGACAAAGAGCTGATGCTCAGCCAGACCTTTATGTTTTTATTTAACTCATGCGGTAGTGTGAGTGTGTCTGCACGTGCTTCAGAGAAAGGAGTCAAATAACTTTTTATTGTCATCCCAATTCACATTTTCATGTTCATGGTACGAAATTATATATATATATAT